ATTTTCTGATGTTGATTTAATAATATTGGACAACAAAATGAAGTTAAAATCTGTGTATCACGTTGGAATGGAATATTTATATTTAAAATTAACTAGATTAACACTTTTGCTTACAATTTAAAAAAATATTATGAAATGTGACCTAACTTCATATTCCGGGATACTAGTATCAGTATTTAATTCTAAGGCAAATCATTATCCGTCTGCTATAAAAACATTTATATTTATAAAAATTACAAATCACGTAATACTTTACTTTATAAAAGTGAAACAATAAATTTGTAGCGCCTAGCTTCATCCTGATAAACAACCGAAACAATAAAATTCAAAGAGTCACCAACAAATCTGGGATTATTGAATAAAAATTGTGTATTTTAGTATTTATGAAAAATTTGGAGATATTTTTAATATTTTGTAACATATAGAGAATATTTTTTATTCATGATTTTTTTCGTTCGTCTTCGCGGACCCCCTAGGATTTTGCTACGGACCACTAGGGGTCCGCGGACCCCCTTTTGGGAACCGTTGGACTAGACTATAGACAGTTTATGGCATAGACTGTACTATGGACTAAAAAGTAAAATATAGACCAATGTACAGATTGAAATATAATCCTATGGACTGAAAAGTAAAATATAGACCAATATACAGAGTGAAATATAATCCAGATTATGGACTATATCCGAGATTATAAAAGGTTTGTACCAGACTGTACGCTTGACTATAATCTATATTTTAGACCAATGGTGCCCAAAATCACTATTCCCTATCACGCGAGATAGGGCAAGAATATTCTGCTGACGTTGCGTTGACTCACCTACACTATAAGCTTACTTGTGTATTTTCTTATTTGAGCATGTGCTAGTTGATTATCTCTCAACTTGCAAAACAAAATCAACTCAGTTGCTGATCAGCATTTGTCGAAGTAAGATCTGCACGCAACTTTTTTAAAATCCACACAGAAATACAACAACAAAATTTTGAGAAAGCCGAATTTATGTAGGTGAATGAGAGAGCACAGCTGATAGTTTTTTATATATGAACTTTAATGTACGCTGTCTGTCAAAATCCATAATATCAATTTGACAGTTAGAATATACTTTTTAGTATGCAGTCATTTTATTAGTACAGTTTTATTTTGGGTTACATTTTGTTCTCTGCTGCTTTACCAATACAAATGAATGTGTAACAGTGTGTGTATGGGCAACACTGTTTTAGACCTTTGACTTTAGTCCAGACTATAGACTTGAGTTTTGTTCACACGTGTTTAAACAAAAAACCGACTTGGCAGCGGTGGGATTCGAACCCACGCCTCCGAGGAGACTGGTGCCTTAAACCAGCGCCTTAGACCGCTCGGCCACGCTACCTATATAAAAACGAATGACAAATTATTGCCTCATAAATGAAACTTTAAAATTTTTTATAAAGAGCTTAATTTGTAACAAAAAACCGTCTTGGCAGCGGTGGGATTCGAACCCACGCCTCCGAAGAGACTGGTGCCTTAAACCAGCGCCTTAGACCGCTCGGCCACGCTACCTATAAAATGAATAATAAATCCAATTCTAAATAAATTATATAGGATATGCATTTCACAATTTTTAAGAGAACTGGTACTCGCTTTAGTACCACGATTCGAGTTTTATTAGCAGGAACAAAAACATCATTACAGACATTAGATCAAAGTGTCTGAAGATTTGGCAATTTAAGACTTTTCGATATAAAAAATTATGAGGTTTTAATTTCCCTAATTTCCCTAAACAATCCATAGGAAGTGATAATTCTGCTTTCGGAATCAGCCAAATATTTCTGACTTTCAACATTAAACTATGGGGCATGGCACATTAGCTATTTATGTAGGTGTCAATGTTGAAGAATGTTTCCAACATTACTATGATTTTCCTTGCCACACCCACAAAGGTCTTTATTTTGACGAAATTTTACTCAAAAAATCATCTTGGCAGCGGTGGGATTCGAACCCACGCCTCCGAGGAGACTGGTGCCTTAAACCAGCGCCTTAGACCGCTCGGCCACGCTACCTATAAAATTCACAATACATGGTTTTATAAAATGATATTTTTGCGGTTGTTTCCAGTTTGACCTTTAACCCTTGACAGAGAAAGTACAATATTATTGTCCCATTCAAGTTTAATTCTACCGACTGATGGCAGAGATTGTATTCTTTATTGAACTATGACCTCTATGTTAGTTACATATTATTTTATTTTCTCAGCTAAATTTGGCAACATCGCTTAAGTAATTAGGTAGCGTGGCCGAGCGGTCTAAGGCGCTGGTTTAAGGCACCAGTCTCTTCGGAGGCGTGGGTTCGAATCCCACCGCTGCCAATATAGCTTTTTGAGCAAAATTTAGGATCCGAAAAGATATTTGTTATCCTACCAGCCTATATTCTAGAGAATAATGTGAAAAAACTATAGTTTGAATATTTTAGATTTCTTCATCAAGAATTTCCAAAACAGTTACAAGACTTATATGCATTTTTCATAAATGTTATATTAACTTTAATTAATTAATAACTAAATCTTTAATATATGCTTTAAACATTCATATTAATTTTTTAATTGATTAATTCGTGAAACTTGACAACATCGCCCAACGCATGTAGGTAGCGTGGCCGAGCGGTCTAAGGCGCTGGTTTAAGGCACCAGTCTCTTCGGAGGCGTGGGTTCGAATCCCACCGCTGCCAAGATGACTTTTTGCCGACATGTGTTGTAATGTTGATGTTGTAATCGTGTGAAATTTGGCAACATGTGTCTTAACCCATAAATGGTAAATTAAAATTGAATATTGACAAAATTAAGTTGGAATTTTTCTGGACTTTTGACAAAAAAGGGTGGAGAAAGACTTAGTTCAATAAGTATCTTGAAAACTGTTTTTATATGGACCGATCTTTAGAAATTCGTTAGTGGGTTTCCTATAGTTATATGATCTGTTCTACTTTGAACAATCAAAAACCTAAATCTGAACAGAACAGAACTAGAACATAACTAGAACAGAACTAGAACAGAACTAGAACAGAACTAGAACAGGACTAGAACAGAACTAGAACTGAACTAGAACTGAACTAGAACTAAACTAGAACTGAACTAGAACTGAACTAGAACTGAACTAGAACTGAACTAGAACTGAACTAGAACTGAACTAGAACTGAACTAGAACTAAACTAGAACTGAACTAGAACGGAAATAGAACTGAACTAGAACTGAACTAGAACTGAACTAGAACTGAACTAGAACTGAACTGAACTAGAACTGAACTAGAACTGAACTAGAACTGAACTAGAACTGAACTAGAACTGAACTAGAACTGAACTAGAAATGAACTAGAACTGAACTAGAACAGAACTAAAACTAAACTAGAACTAAACTAGAACGGAACTAGAACTGAACTAGAACTGAACTAGAACTGAACTAGAACTGAACTAGAACTGAACTAGAACTGAACTAGAACTGAACTAGAACTGAACTAGAACTAACTAGAACTGAACTAGAACTGACTAAACTGGAACTAGAACTGAACTAGAATTGAACTAGAACTGAACTAGAACTGAACTAGACACTGAACTAGAACTGAACTAGACTGAACTAGAACTGAACTAGAACTGAACTTGAACTGAACTAGAACTGAACTAGAACTGAACTAGAACTGAACTTGAACTGAACTAGAACTGAACTAGAACTGAACTAGAACTGAAACTAGAACTGAACTAGAACTGAACTAGAACTGAACTAGAACTGAACTAGAACTGAACTAGAACTGAACTGAACTAGAACTGAACTAGAACTGAACTAGAACTGAAACTAGAACTGAACTAGAACTGAACTAGAACTGAACTAGAACTGAACTAGAACTGAACTAGAACTGAACTAGAACTGAACTAGAACTGAACTAGAACTGAACTAGACTGAACTAGAATGAACTAGACTGAACTAGAACTGAACTAGAACTGACTTGAACTGAACTAGAACTGAACTAGAACTGAACTATGAAACTGAACTAGAACTGAACTAGAACTGAACTAGAACTGAACTAGAACTGAACTAGAACTGAACTAGAACTGAACTAGAACTGAACTAGAACTGAACTAGAACTGAACTAGAACTGAACTAGAACTGAACTAGAACTGAACTAGAACTGAACTAGAACTGAACTAGAACTGAACTAGAACTGAACTAGAACTGAACTAGAACTGAACTAGAACTGAACTAGAACTGAACTAGACTGAACTAGAACTGAACTAGAACTGAACTAGAACTGAACTAGAACTGAACTAGAACTGAACTAGAACTGAACTAGAACTGAACTAGAACTGAACTAGAACTGAACTAGAACTGAACTAGAACTGAACTAGAACTGAACTAGAACTGAACTAGAACTGAACTAGAACTGAACTAGAACTAGAACTGAACTAGAACTGAACTAGAACTGAACTAGAACTGAACTAGAACTGAACTAGAACTGAACTAGAACTGAACTAGAACTGAACTAGAACTAAACTAGAACTGAACTAGAACTGAACTAACTAGAACTGAACTAGAACTGAACTAGAACTGAACTAGAACTGAACTAGAACTGAACTAGAACTGAACTAGATCTGAACTAGAACTAGAACTGACAACAATCTAAAAACAGTGGCAGATTTACAATGTATTTAGAACATTGTTTAAATTGCACTTCACTTAAGGTGCTGCTAAATTAATTTCCTCTAACTTAAAAATAACCTCAAGTGTGATTCACTTCCACACCTTCATTTCAAGTGGGATACTTATTTTTTTAGGGAAACCTTTCTTCTATTACCAATTGATAAATAATTTGTTTGTAAAAAACAATCAAAAACACATTTCGCCAGTCAATAATATTGTTCAAGTAATTGACAAGTGTATAAAATATTTATCAATCAGTTGATAGATAAGATAATTAAGATAACATTTCTTAGATGCCGGTAAAATCTTATAAAAGAAGTTAGTGTTTATAAATTTAATTTACAATAGTTTTAAAAGTCATAACAAAATGTTGTCAATACATACGTTATTGATATTTGGTTGTCTATTTTCGGGCCTTGAGTGTGCCTTTCGCAAACCTTTAGATTTTGAATTGAAACAGGCCGAGCCGTGTAGTACGGAGAAATGTCAGCCACCGCATTGTCGTTGTTCGGGTATGACACTACCTAAGAAGGAGTTTAAGGGTCATGAAAAGGAAATACCTCAAGTGAGTTAAATAGTCCAGTTAACCAGCGTTTTTTCTTCAATTTTCTTTCCACTCCAGTTTATTACCGTTACTTTCGACGATGCTGTAAATGCCATCAACTATGAGCAATATCAGGAACTGTTTAATAGTCTTCTAAATCCCGATCATTGTGAGGTCAAGGCCACTTTCTATGTTTCTCATGAATACACCGATTATTCCAAACTTAATGCTCTTTACAATGAGGGTCATGAAATAGCTTTGCATTCCATTACGCATGGTGCCGGTACTGAATACTGGCGCCAGGCTGATGTGGACCTTATAATGCGAGAATTTGGTAATCAAATAGATATTTTGGAAAAGTTCGCCAAGATCAATCGTAAACATATCCGAGGCATGCGTTTACCATTTTTACAAATATCGGGTAATAACACCTATGTAGCGGCCAAACGTTTGGGTTTATTGTATGACAGTTCTTGGCCCACTCAGCAGTATCGCAATCCTGCCATGTGGCCTTATACTTTGGATTATTTGTCGGTGCAGGATTGTCAGATAAGACCGTGTCCCACAGCATCTTTACCGGGTTTATGGGTATATCCCATGGTTACTTGGGTGGATAAGGAGGGCTACAGCTGTTCCATGTTGGATGGTTGTATTTATCTGCCTGAAGATAAAGTGGAGAGTTTATTTGAATGGATGAAGGAAAATTTCCATCGTCATTATGACAATAACCGAGCACCTTTCGGCATGTTTTTGCATGCCGCTTGGTTTGGCAGAAGTCCCAATTATATTAAAGCTTTCAGGAAGTAAGTGATGTAGTAAATTTGAAGTATTGTTTTTATTATTTTAAGTTTTTTTTTCAAAGGTTCTTGGAATATGCCAACTCTCTGCCTGATGTTTATATTACCACACCCACTTCGGTTATTCAGTATATGAAACATCCCACTTTGGGTAAACCTTTTAAGGGCTGTTTTAAGAAACCTCAAACTTCTTGTCGCCCGATATCATGTGCCCTACAGAAACAATCTACTGGGGAGACCCGCTACATGACTGTTTGTGATAACTGTCCCGAAGTTTATCCCTGGTTGGATAATCCTTTGGGAGAAATTTAGAAAATTATATATATTAACTTCACATGTGAAATAACCGAAGCATATAATAAAAGGGATTTGGATTTTTTATCGAAATTATTAATTTCAACTATAGACTCATGACTATAAACAATATTGGTTCTGATTCAGTTCTAGTTCCATTCTAGTTCAGTTCAAGTTAAATTCTAATTCAGTTCTAGATCAGTTCTAGTTCAGTTCTAGTTCAGTTCTAGTTCAGTTCTAGTTCAGTTCTAGTTCAGTTCTAGTTCAGTTCTAGTTCAGTTCTAGTTCAGTTCTAGTTCAGTTCTAGTTCAGTTCTAGTTCAGTTCTAGTTCAGTTCTAGTTCAGTTCTAGTTCAGTTCTAGTTCAGTTCTAGTTCAGTTCTAGTTCAGTTCTAGTTCAGTTGTAGTTCAGTTCTAGTTGTAGTTCAGTTCTAGTTGTAGTTCAGTTCTAGTTCAGTTCTAGTTCAGTTCTAGTTCAGTTCTAGTTCAGTTCTAGTTCAGTTCTAGTTCAGTTCTAGTTCAGTTCTAGTTCAGTTCTAGTTCAGTTCTAGTTCAGTTCTAGTTCAGTTCTAGTTCAGTTCTAGTTCAGTTCTAGTTCAGTTCTAGTTCAGTTCTAGTTCAGTTCTAGTTCAGTTCTAGTTCAGTTCTAGTTCAGTTCTAGTTCAGTTCTAGTTCAGTTCTAGTTCAGTTCTAGTTCAGTTCTAGTTCAGTTCTAGTTCAGTTCTAGTTCAGTTCTAGTTCAGTTCTAGTTCAGTTCTAGTTCAGTTCTAGTTCAGTTCTAGTTCAGTTCTAGTTCAGTTCTAGTTCAGTTCAAGTTCAGTTCTAGTTCAGTTCTAGTTCAGTTCTAGTTCAGTTCTAGTTCAGTTCTAGTTCAGTTCTAGTTCAGTTCTAGTTCAGTTCTAGTTCAGTTCTAGTTCAGTTCTAGTTCAGTTCTAGTTCAGTTCTAGTTCAGTTCTAGTTCAGTTCTAGTTCAGTTCTAGTTCAGTTCTAGTTCAGTTCAGTTCTAGTTCAGTTCTAGTTCAGTTCTAGTTCAGTTCTAGTTCAGTTCTAGTTCAGTTCTAGTTCAGTTCTAGTTCAGTTCTAGTTCAGTTCTAGTTCAGTTCAAGTTCAGTTCTAGTTCAGTTCTAGTTCAGTTCTAGTTCAGTTCAAGTTCAGTTCTAGTTCAGTTCTAGTTCAGTTCTAGTTCAGTTCTAGTTCAGTTCTAGTTCAGTTCTAGTTCAGTTCTAGTTCAATTCTAGTTCAGTTCTAGTTCAGTTCTAGTTCAGTTCTAGTTCAGTTCTAGTTCAGTTCTAGTTCAGTTCTAGTTCAGTTCTAGTTCAGTTCTAGTTCAGTTCAAGTTCAGTTCTAGTTCAGTTCTAGTTCAGTTCTAGTTCAGTTCTAGTTCAGTTCTAGTTCAGTTCTAGTTCAGTTCTAGTTCAGTTCTAGTTCAGTTCTAGTTCAGTTCTAGTTCAGTTCTAGTTCAGTTCTAGTTCAGTTCTAGTTCAGTTCTAGTTCAGTTCTAGTTCAGTTCTAGTTCAGTTCTAGTTCAGTTCTAGTTCAGTTCTAGTTCAGTTCTAGTTCAGTTCTAGTTCAGTTCTAATTCAGTTCTAGTTCAGTTCTAGTTCAGTTCTAGTTCAGTTCTAGTTCAGTTCTAGTTCAGTTCTAGTTCAGTTCTAGTTCAGTTCTAGTTCAGTTCTAGTTCAGTTCTAGTTCAGTTCTAGTTCAGTTCTAGTTCAGTTCTAGTTCAGTTCTAGTTCAGTTCTAGTTCAGTTCTAGTTCAGTTCTAGTTCAGTTCTAGTTCAGTTCTAGTTCAGTTCTAGTTCAGTTCTAGTTCAGTTCTAGTTCAGTTCTAGTTCAGTTCTAGTTCAGTTCTAGTTCAGTTCTAGTTCAGTTCTAGTTCAGTTCTAGTTCAGTTCTAGTTCAGTTCTAGTTCAGTTCTAGTTCAGTTCTAGTCAGTTCTAGTTCAGTTCTAGTTCAGTCTAGTTCAGTTCTAGTTCAGTTCTAGTTCAGTTCTAGTTTCAGTTCTAGTTTCAGTTCTAGTTCAGTTCTAGTTCAGTTCTAGTTCAGTTCTAGTTCAGTTCTAGTTCAGTTCTAGTTCAGTTCTAGTTCAGTTCTAGTTCAGTTCAGTTCAGTTCTAGTTCAGTTGTAGTTCAGTTGCTAGTTAAGTTGTGTTCAGTTGTAGTTCAGTTCTAGTTCAGTTGTAGTTCAGTTGTAGTTCAGTTCGAGTTCAGTTCTAGTTCAGTTCTAGTTCAGTTCTAGTTCAGTTCTAGTTCAGTTCTAGTTCAGTTCTAGTTCAGTTCTAGTTCAGTTCTAGTTCAGTTCTAGTTCAGTTCTAGTTCAGTTCTAGTTCAGTTCTAGTTCAGTTCTAGTTCAGTTCTAGTCAGTTCTAGTTCAGTTCTAGTTCAGTTCTAGTTCAGTTCTAGTTCAGTTCTAGTTCAGTTCTAGTTCAGTTCTAGTCAGTTCTAGTTCAGTTCTAGTTCAGTTCTAGTTCAGTTCTAGTTCAGTTCTAGTTCAGTTCTAGTTCAGTTCTAGTTCAGTTCTAGTTCAGTTCTAGTCAGTTCTAGTTCAGTTCTAGTTCAGTTCTAGTTCAGTTCTAGTTCAGTTCTAGTTCAGTTCTAGTTCAGTTCTAGTTCAGTTCTAGTAGTTCTAGTTCATAGTTCAGTTCTAGTTCAGTTATAGTTCAGTTATAGTTCAGTTCTAGAACTGAACTAGAACCTTCAAACAAGTCCCAGGTTAACATAAATCAAAGTTCTCTTCATAGTTCCTCTCTAGCATTTTTATCAGATCTTTACACCTCTATATGCTTTGATAAGCTTCAATTTTGGGTATTATGTTATAGTAAAGCTTGACTTTTAGGTTTAGGTTCAATAGCACTGCCTTGAATTAAAAATCAATAAATTTACTTCTTTTTGAAATATTTCAAAATCATCTGCTGCCAATTTTCTTTATACCCCTTTCTCCCACTTTCGTTCAATTTCCATATTTCTAACCACTTATTAGTTTATTTCCTATTTCCGCTTCAATGCTCTGTTTGCCATTACTTGATTTGTCCTTTGAAGTGTCGAGTGGACTTTTTGCTGCTGCGACTTGTTTAAATAAAATTTCAAGTGCAAAAATTTTTCTTAAGTATGTGGTAAAACAAATAAACCCAAAAACTATTCTTCCTATTTTTTTTTTTGTACTCTTGAGATTTTTTTTTCACATTTTCCATAACTTTGCCGCCACTTGCGTCATAATTTGAAAATTTTTCACACAACTTTTCCACTTTTCATTCAAACTCCTGCATTTGTTTATACTACGAGTTAAGAGTTGAAGAAAGAGTTCGTGTGGAAATATTATGGAGAACATTTTTATTAAAGAAATTTTCTTAAACATACAAAAGCAAATCAAGCAAATTCATGCAAACAAACAAAGAAATTTAAGTAAGAACAAACTAAAACAACAACAATACTAAAACTACTACTTGTTAAATAAAAATATGAAAAGAAACTAACATATTTCTAACAAAACTATTCAAGTTGTTTTAAGAGCTTTAGAACAATATAATAACAGCAACAACAAACCAATTTGCGTATTTTTTCGAAAACTTGTCGAACTGTGTTGTAGGAAAAAAATGGCAGAAAAGGAGTTCAACAGAAAATACCAGAAATGAATGAATAAATAAATAAATTTTTATGCTAATCATATAACTAAAATGAAGTCTTTTTGAGTGGTTTACAGCATAAATGAAGAATATTAAATTATATTGATATAAAGGAAAATATTTCATCCAAGGATGAAATTGAATATGTTTGAAGGAGTTCTATATGAATTATAATGGAAGAAAACTACAAATACCATTGGGCAATATCAAAGAGGTAGACATTTAAGAAGTAAACTAAAACTGTACGGGAACATGAACTGAACTAGAACTGAACTGAACTAGAACTGAACTGAACTAGAACTAGAACTGAACTAGAACTGAACTAGAACTGAACTAGAACTGAACTAGAACTGAACTAGAACTGAACTAGAACTGAACTAGAACTGAACTAGAACTGAACTAGAACTGAACTAGAACTGAACTAGAACTGAACAGAACTGAACTAGAACCGAACTAGAACTGAACTAGAACTGAACTAGAACTGAACTAGAACTGAACTAGAACTGAATATAGACTGAACTAGAACTGAAACTGAACTAGAACTGAACTAAACTGAACTAGAACTGAACTAGAACTGAACTAGAACTGAACTAGAACTGAACTAGAACTGAACTAGAACGGAACTAGAACTGAACTAGAACTGAACTAGAACTGAACTAGAACTGAACTAGAACTGAACTAGAACTGAACTAGAACTGAACTAGAACTGAACTAGAACTGAACTAGAACTGAACTAGAACTGAACTAGAACTGAACTAGAACTGAACTAGAACTGAACTAGAACTGAACTAGAACTGAACTAGAACTGAACTAGAACTGAACTAGAACTGAACTAGAACTGAACTAGAACTGAACTAGAACTGAACTAGAACTGAACTAGAACTGAACTAGAACTGAACTAGACTGAACTAGAACTGAACTAGAACTGAACTACTAGAACTGAACTAGAACTGAACTAGAACTGAACTAGAACTGAACTAGAACTGAACTAGAACTGAACTAGAACTGAACTAGAACTGAACTAGAACTGAACTAGAACTGAACTAGAAACTGAACTAGAACTGAACTAGAACTGAACTAGAACTGAACTAGAACTGAACTAGAACTGAACTAGAACTGAACTAGAACTGAACTAGAACTGAACTAGAACTGAACTAGAACTGAACTAGAACTGAACTAGAACTGAACTAGAACTGAACTAGAACTGAACTAGAACTGAACTAGAACTGAACTAGAACTGAACTAGAACTGAACTAGAACTGAACTAGAAATGAACTAGAACTAGAACTGAACTAGAACTGAAGTAGAACTGAACTAGTTCTGGCGGATGCCGACATACTTTAGTGATCTGTCTGATTTGTCGAATATTCAATTAGAACGTCTCATAGATTTCATTAATCTGACAAAATGGGTGTGAATCCAATATTCACACTGTTTAATCCATAGCAACTGGCCTGGTGACTT